ACTTGATTAAAGCACGTCAAGAAATAGAGAAGTACAAAGGTTTGCGAAAGGTTTAGTTCCAGAGCTAAGGGGAATGGTCCTATGAAGAAAGATTAAGGGAATCGGTACTGACGACACTGGAGGGACTGGAGGGTGAGGGGAGACATGATAACGACATATAAAAGACCTGCGTGGAATAGGACAAGGTGACAAAAGGACAGGATGTTCCAGGGAGGGACACAGAAACAAAGAGGCCACAATTGGAAGTTGAAGACACAAATGAGTCAGAGAGATAGTAGGAAGTATTTCTTCAGTCATAGAGTTGTAAGGCAGTGGAATAGCCTAGAAAATGACGTAGTGGAGGCAGGAACCATACACAGTTTTAAGACGAGGTTTGATAAAGCTCATGGAGCGGGGAGAGAGAGGGCCTAGTAGCAACCGGTGAAGAGGCGGGGCCAGGAGCTAGGACTCGACCCCTGCAACCACAAATAGGTGAGTACACACACACACACACACACACACACAAAAGCCAAGAGCCAGAAGCTGTGACTTGACCCCTGCATCCACAAATACGTAGATGAAAACACACACCTAGTGGCGATCAGGGAGGAGTCGGGACCAGGAGCTATAAATCGACCCCTGTAACCACAAGTAGGTAAGTACACACACACACAGATACGCGTAACGCATATTATAAACAGGCTAAGCGTCTATCTTCAAATACCTTTGATAACTAGTAGGTAACTTTAGTGGTGCTACTGAACAATTACAGAAGTTTCCGCTGACTAACTCCTGGTTCCTCTATGTTCCATTTTCTGTTAAGCTTCTCCTGCCAAAGTGGCGCTACTCGTCCTCCACTAAGTGTGTCAAGTGCGTGTACTCAGCCAGCTTCTTAACCTTCAGTCGGCTTGCATTGTTGATTCTTAGAATTCTCGCCACTACGACGAGCTTTACTTTTGAATCAAGTAGTGAAGTTTGTCTCCATGTGTGGCCTCTTGTTCTGTCTCTCTGGAACCTAATGTAAATAGGTACCCGGGTGTTGGGCGGCTGTTATAAGATGTATTAAACCTGACCTGGACTAATCTAACTAGAAGTAGCATTTGTAAGATGTAACATCCCCCCATTGTATAGCAGGGGCATCACGAGTACGTTAAGAGACAACGCAATGTCGGGGGCCAAAGCATACATAACGGGGATAGTTGTGATAGAACCCACAGGCATAACACCAGACACAAACATCTCTACGACATTCCCCGTGTCCGACTAAACCTTTACAAAAATTCAATGTATGTCAAAGGCCCTAAAATCTGGAACACCCTACCTGAGAACTCTAGAACTGCAGACACATTCATCACCTTCAAAACTACCATTAGAAAACATCTTATCTCCCTGATACACCCCGTCAACTAACTATACGAATACCACCTGGTGGTTCACACTTACACTCACTCACCCATTTGACCATAAACAGAAATATTAATCTCAATCTTAAAAAATGAATCCTGTGATACTCCAATACTGAAACTATGTACTGTGCCAAAACAAAAGCATTCACATTGCTAAACTCACAAACTAGTATTTAGTCACTTAGCCATAATACCAACTTACCTCATAATTTGTAATATTTTAAAATTAAGAATTAAACTAAGTCTGCCCGAAATGCCTAGCCATGCTAGGTGTTCTAGTGGTACACTCTGTAATCATTATTTTACTACATGTAAACCACACAATAACCAAATTCTGTAAACTCAGCATTGTAATCCTTATAGAGAATAAACTTTGAATTGAATTGAATTTGAATTGAATTGAATTGAATAGATCTCTGGCCGTCTACAAGAAGGCTCTGGGCAGGCACCTAAAAATCAGTACCTGACGAGCCAGGCTGTGGTTCGTACGTCGGTTTGCGTGCTGCCAGTATTAACAGCCTGGTTGATCAGGTCCTGATCCAGCACGAGGCCTGGCCACGGACCGGGCCGCGGGGGCGCTGACCCCCAAAACCCCCTCCAGGTATACTGTAAGTTTACTGAAAGAGTTAAGAATTAAGAATGAGAACTTCGTTAGGAAATTAATGCAGAAGATTAAGGGACTGAATACCTTAAAATTACCACTTCACTTCTTTCTGTCTCCATTATTCAAGTCACCTCATTATTCAACTAAAGAAGTCTGCTGTGCAGGCGAAACATTTCGGCATTAAAAGAAAGCAAAGTATTACACATGATTCCCATTCATCAAATATTTGGTATTGTATTTCATTAACATGAAGACTGACTATATGATAGCGTTGAATGGAGGTATTTCCCGAGCTTCTAGTTGTTAGTGGTTCACAATATTCTGTTTCTGGAATGTATTTCGTTTACTGTTTGGTCTTTTCTACATGTTTGTAGGGGGTTAAAAACAATTCTGTATGAAAAGGTGAAGAAGTAATTAAAGAAACAGGTGGCGGAGAAAAAGGGAAAGCTTAGTTAGACAGGAGGTGGAGTAGGAAGATTAGATGGTGATGTTGAGGAACAGTAGAAGGAAGTGAGAGGGAAGTGAAACAAGAGAAGTAAAGAGGTAAGGAGCATGATAAGGAAGAGAAAAGAGACATTTGAAGGAAAAGAGGGTTGTGTGGAAGGAGAGGAGACGACAACAATTATGAGGAGGAAGGGTAGTTGATAAGAGTTAAAGTTGGGAGAAGGTCGGGGGGAGAGGGTTGAGAAAAATGCCTCCCCCTGATCCTCTAACTTAATATAGGGAGGGGGCTGGAGATCCCTGAAGTGATGGTGGAGGATCATTTAACCGAATGACCTGCCTAGTGGCTCACCTGCCTCCAGGGAGGTAAGAGGAGAGGGAACCACTGGGGACTACTCCATGGTAAAGCAATGGAGGGGAAGGAAAGGAAGATTGGAAGAGGCAAGGGGTGGGAGAGAAGGATGGATAAGTGAAAATGCCATACTAAAACAAGAGAGGGAATGGAGAGAGAACGGGAAAATGGACCATAAATGGAAAGATGGTTAGTTAGAGAGATAATTAAGGAATCTTAAACTTAACCCAGCATTAACATTCCTATTATATATATATATATATATTATATATATATATATATATATATATGTGTGTGTGTGTGTGTATATGTGTGTGTGTGTATATGTGTGTGTATATATGTGTGTGTGTGTGTGTATATTGTGTGTGTATATATGTGTGTGTGTGTGTATATGTGTGTGTATATATGTGTGTGTGTGTGTGTATATGTGTGTGTATATATGTGTGTGTGTGTGTATATGTGTGTGTATATATATGTGTGTGTGTGTGTGTGTGTGTGTGTGTGTGTGTGTGTGTGTGTGTGTATGTGTGTGTATATATATGTGTGTGTGTGTGTGTGTGTGTGTGTGTGTGTGTGTGTGTGTGTGTGTGTGTGTGTGTGTGTGTGTGTGTGTTTAAGCTGGCTGGCTTTCTTCTTGTATGGCGGTTTTCTTCACAAGTTAACAACTAGTATTCAACTTTTGCTTTTTCCTTCATCCTCCCCCCCTCTACCTCTCCCCTTCCCCTCCCCCCTCTCTCTCTCTTTCCCCTTTAGGAGGGTTGCGCAACATTTCATAACAGAAGCCATATTTCTCACTGTTCCTGGAGTATTTATAATCCTTGTATGCTCTCGAGACTTCCAGCACACAGAAATATTAACTTTTCTTGTCTAGCATTTCAAAATTACAATACCAGCGAGACATGAATTAACTGAATTTGTGTGTTACACGGATGTTTATGTTCACTAATATGTAATATATAATATATAATTAATATATATATATATATATATATATATATATATATATATATATATATATATATATATATATATATATCAGATTGCATTTAGTTCTCTTTATTTTCTTACCAATTTACATAATTTTTGGCGTATTCTTCACTCGTGCCATCCATATTCTTCTTTGTTTCTACACTTCATCTTGACTTTCAATATCTTCTCTAATATCTTCTACTACCTCTCTCAACCATATCATTTATCTTCTTCACTCGTAGCTACATCATTTATCATGTCTTAATCCCTTTCCGATTAACTACTTGTCTTATGTTTTCATTAATCTTGTACTCTAATTACACTCAATATTCCCCTCTTGCTCTTCCTCTCTTATTTACCTTTTAGATACTGAGGCATAGTGTTGACTGAGAACGTTTCTCTCAGGGTACAGCATTGTTGGTCACTGAAACAACGTTTCTCTCTGGGTACAGCATTGTTGGTCACTGAAACAACGTTTCTCTCTGGGTACAACATTGTCAAACTCTACCCTGAGCTTATAAAATAATAAGTAAAAAATAAAGTTCTTATATATTATCTGCAGAAAAGGACACTTGTGTACAGTTCTGGATAGTTATTACGGGGACAGATTTTCCACAAGCGGCCTCATCTTCATTAAGACTGATGAAGCCACTCCTGTTGACAAGCTCCCTTTAATAAACATACAGAACTGTAAACAAGTGTTGTTTTCCAAAGTTTGTCGATGTCTCCATATCATTAAGATCTATGTGCTGTCTACTCGTGCTGCTTCTATATTTAAGGTATTTTCTTATCCATCCCTTTACCCCTCTTCCCTGCAATCAATCTTGACGTCTTCTCGTCTCTTCTTCCTTTTCCAATTTCGTATTGCTCCTAATCAATCTTATCCTTTCCCTTAATCCCATGCCTTCCCGTTCCTAGCAACCTTATTGTTAAGTATTTTTATTCTCCTTTCTATCCATTTTATTGACGATTTCAATCCTTTCATTATATATTTTTAAAATAATGTTTCGTATTTTTTACGGTTTCTGAACCCCAAATTATCATTCCTCTTATTCCACCCAGAATTGGCCACATTCTCCTCTTTAAATTCATCACAATTCCTTCTCTTCCAAATTCACCCCACTCCATCCTCTCCTTTCTCAAATTCATTCCATTCCCTCCTCTCCCTTGCCAAATTCTCCACAATTAGTCATTTGCGTGTCCAGGTGTCTGGGGCTCCCCACTGACCATTGTGTTGTTGTCTCCACAGGTGGTGAGCCAGTCAGTGGACGAGGACTTCACGCCTAATATAGAGGCGTCGTGCAAGGCCGGCTACATGATCATCAATGTCTACGTCAAGAACCACGAGTATAGAGGTGGGTGTTAGTGCAGGAGGAAGAGGTAAGGGAGCTAAAGTGAGATTCAGGAGGGATTCCTGTGGGAAGACTAGTGAGGGAGGGAAGGTGGAAATGAGGGAGGTTTGGAGGAAGGGATTCTAGGTGTGTCAGTGTCCTCATTCCGACGACTCACTACAATCTTAAATCAACTAAATATTTTCTTTGATGCAAAGTAATGCACATGTCATATTTGTGTATTAAACGGTGTAAGGACGTGTATTTTCTACTTTTCTAGGTATTAAGTTTATGTAGGTACAGTTACACAATGTTGCAAGGCATCATTTGAAGGATTCAGGGAAAGTTTTTCTCAGAGCAGCGCAGCGCAGGTTGACACCAGCCTCTCTGAATGTTAGTTTTCTTTCCCTTTCTGATAGAATGATATTTTTTCATCTAGCAGATCGTAGCAGACAAGTTATCTTCTTTAATTAATATAAAATTTAGTGGCTTGGTAGGCAGCGCTTTCACCTCACACACAGTGTCTGTGGTTCGATAGGTGGAGTCATTGGGTGTGTTTCCTTACACCTACTGTCCCGTTTACCTAGTAAGCAAGCAGGTAGCTGGGTGTTAGTGGATTGGTGTGGGTCGCATCCTGGGGGAAAAGTTTAAGGACCCCAATGGAAATAAGACAGACAGTCCCTCGATTATCTTTCCTGGGTTATCCTGGGTGGCTAACCCTCCGAAGTTAAAAATCTGAACAAAAATCTTATCTCTTTTCTGAGATTTTGGTTCAGTTCTCTCTTTCACTGCCTTTAACAGCCGAGGCTCTGTACTCTCTCTTTCACTGCCTTTAACAGCCGAGGCTCTATACTCCGTCCTCAATCGTTGCCTACCTCTCCCCTCCTCTCTCTCACTGTTGATATCCTCCCTCTGCTTTCTAATGACCTTGTTTTTGTTTTCCATTCTGCTGGTTAATAGAGTCATTACCCCCGTGGCCTCTGACCTGCCATTGTTCCGCAGGTGCGGTGCACTCGCGGGACTTCCGCAAGCCGGAATGTATGGTCATTGGTGACGGCTCCAACCACGTTACACTACGACTGCCGCTTATTACTGACAAGGATGATCCATCATACTGTGGCGTCAGAGTCAATAAGGTGAGTATCTCGCCACTTGCAGTACTTAACAGTTTACTTACACATTCTTGGATATCTCATGTGCAGTTGTAGATGTTAGGAGAATTTTATTAGCCAGGAAATGGGAAAAGAAATGTTATGGTAACTATATACTGTATTGGCAATCGATGAAGAGGACACGTGTAAAAGTTGGGTATATTGATTCACCATAGTTGAGGGAGGGAAACCTCAAATTATCTATCCACTTCGTCCACCGTCTCCAGTATATATTCTCTGTATAGGATTTAAAAGTCATTAGTTGGCGAAACATCTCCATCAGTAAAGATACTCAGGTACTACACACGTGTCTTATTCACCATGAAAACAAGTACTCACCTAGTTGAGGTTGCGGGGGTCGAGTCCAAGCTCCTGGCCCCGCCTCTTCACTGGTCGCTACTAGGTCACTCTCCCTAAACCGTGAGCTTTATCATACCTCTGCTTAAAGCTATGTAAGGATCCTGAATGACACGTGTCTATAGTCATGTGATGACCAGCTAAGCGGATCTTTCGGTCATATTGCTGAGGTATCCTGTTGGTTTATCTGTCCAACATGTTAAAGGTTAAACCTATCATACTCTAGATGTAAGACCATTCATTTAAGAGGCCTGGTCATGGACCGGGCCGCTTGGTATTGACCCTCTGAATACCCTCCACGGTATTCCTCCTGGGTATTCAGAGGGTATTCATTTGGGCATTTAGTGCTTGTAGTAATTTAGAGCAATATGTAAACAATTCTAGAACTGGATATAACATTGCTATCTCCAGCTCTAGAAGTAAAGAACAAATAGGTACAATACCGTGACTGGAACAATACACAATACAATGACTGGAATACACAAACAACCCGTACAAAGGAGAGAAACGCTTATGACAACGTTTCCGACCTGGACCATTTACAAAGTCACACTGTGTGATTTTGTAAATGGTCCAAGTCAGACGACCGAAACGTCGTCGCAAGCTCCTCTCTCCTACGTATGGGTTATTGGTGTGTAGTTCCAGACGTGTTTACGTTGATATAAATCACTGAGCATAATTCTCCACAGATGACAGTCACTAACCTTACTGATTCATTAACTGTTTAATAAAGAGAAAAAATATACGGAAACTGCAATATTTTATCGTGTTTAAGTTTTTTCTAAGCGTTTTCTAGTTTTTTTTTTTTTCATCGCCGGCTTCAGTAACAAAATTAACAAGACTAAGTCCCTCACTTTCTCTTGGGTTTTTAATAAGAGAAGCGAATTTTATGGAGCCTTTAATGATAAATTTGATAAAAGCTGCAGGATATTTTATATGTACGATTCTTTTTCATTTCTCATTTTTATGGCCATCCTCAGTGAGATGATCAAGAGAGGAGGTAAATATTTCAGTCTGACGCTATGAGCGTCCACATGTACTTACATTGCTCAGGGAAATTCTTAATTTCGGAGAGATGTTTATATTAATCAACAAAAGTGGGTACATGACCAGCGTACTGCCACCTGACTGGTGTCAAGGGCAGCCAAAGCTTACAAAAAAGTCACAATATCGTGGCTGGAACAATTCACAATGAATCCGCTTAATGGTCACCACTATCATCAATGTTACTACCACCACAATAACCACACATCTACTTTTACTGCCACCACCTTTACCACAACTACCACAATAATAACCACCCATCTACCACTACAATCACTTCTCCACAACCATGACTTTCAGTTCCCTTTCCTACCACAATCAGAATATTTCGGACTCTTCTCCAAGTATTCCGATCACGGTGCTCGCTAACGTCTTCATGTTACGAACCTCACCGCTGGAGTGGGGGGAGGGGGAGCAGATGGTGCGGGAGGGACAGGTAGTGAGGGAGGGACAGGTGATGTGGGAGGGACAGGTGATGTGGGAGGGACAGGTGGTGTGGGAGGGACAGGTGGTGTGGGAGGGACAGGTGGTGTGGGAGGGACAGGTGGTATGGGAGGTAGCTCCTGAGAGGCCAGCTGCCTAATTCCAAATCTCTTTGCTTGTACAATGTCTGTTGCGTCTCGCTTCTGAACTGTTCTCTCTCTCACTCTCTCTCTCTCTCATTCAAATTGCTTTACATTTGCAAGTATTGAATTTAAGTGACACTTTATTTACATCTGTGGCATAATTATCTTCTCTTTAAGAGTTCATTAACATAAATTAGGTGAAGTAATGACCCTGGGACCTCCTGCCAATCCCTGAGACTCCTACTAACGACTCTTTTACTCGGACACTTCTATAACATTCCCAATATCTCTCCTGTCCTTCAAATACCCCCAGATTCCCTTTAGTACTTTTACTACTGCTTGTTTATTCTATTTTGTGGATTAGTCTCCGGTTGGGTGCCGCATCAAAGGCTTTCTTGAAAGCAGTCCACTCAGCCTAGTCTTTCTTGTTTTATCTCTTAACTCTCGTAAAATTCCAAAAGGTTCGCGGCGCAGGATTTCACTGGTCTTTAAATCACTCTTAGTTTTCTCAGGCAAAGCCTTGCGATCTTCTCCAGAACTGTAACTAGCAAGTATGTTAGTGACACTGCCCTGCAGTTAATAAATGACTGGTTTTTCTTTGAAAATTTTGACTGTACTCATCTAGTTGAGGTTGCAGGGGTCGAGTCCTAGCTCCAGGCCCCCGCCTCTTCACTGGTCGCTACTAGGTCACTCTCCCTGAACCGTGAGTTTTATCATACCTCCGCTAAAGCTATGTATGGATCCTGCCTCTACTACATCGCTTCCCAAACTGTTCCACTTCCTGACTACTCTGTGGCTGAAGAAATACTTCCTAACATCCCTGTGATTCATCTGTGTCTTCAACTTCCAACTGTGTCCCCTTGTTGCTGTGTCCAGTCTCTGGAACATCCTGTCTTTGTCCACCTTGTCAATTCCTCTCAGTATTTTGTATGTCGTTATCATGTCCCCCCATCTCTCCTGTCCTCCAGTGTCGTCAGGTTGATTTCCCTTAACCTCTCCTCGTAGAACATACCTCTTAGCTCTGGGGCTAGTCTTGTTGCAAACCTTTGCACTTTCTCTAGTTTCTTTACATGCTTGGCTAGGTGTGGGTTCCAAACTGGTGCCGCATACTCCAATATGGGCCTAACGTACACGGTGTACAGGGTCCTGAACGATTCCTTATTAAGATGTCGGAATGCTGTTCTGAGGTTTGCTAGGCGCCCATATGCTGCAGCAGTTATTTGGTTGATGTGCGCTTCAGGAGATGTGCCTGGTGTTATACTCACCCCAAGATCTTTTTCCTTGAGTGAGGTTTGTAGTCTCTGGCCCCCTAGACTGTACTCCGTCTGCGGTCTTCTTTGCCCTTCCCCAATCTTCATGACTTTGCACTTGGTGGGATTGAACTCCAGGAGCCAATTGCTGGACCAGGGCTGCAGCCTGTCCAGATCCCTTTGTAGTTCTGCCTGGTCATCGATCGAATGAATTCTTCTCATCAACTTCACGTCATCTGCAAACAGGGACACCTCGGAGTTTATTCCTTCCGTCATGTCGTTCACAAATACCAGAAACAGCACTGGTCCTAGGACTGACCCCTGTGGGACCCCGCTGGTCACAGGTGCCCACTCTGACACCTCGCCACGTACCATTACTCGCTGCTGTCTTCCTGACAAGTATTCCCTGATCCATTGTAGTGCCTTCCCTGTTATCCCTGCTTGGTCCTCCAGATTTTGCACTAATCTCTTGTGTGGTACTGTGTCAAACGCCTTCTTGCAGTCCAAGAAAATGCAATCCACCCACCCCTCTCTCTCTTGTCTTACTGCTATCACCTTGTCATAGAACTCCAGTAGGTTTGTGACACAGGATTTCCCGTCCCTGAAACCATGTTGGGTGCTGTTGATGAGATCATTCCTTTCTAGGTGTTCACCACTCTTCTCCTGACAATCTTCTCCA